CAATCGCATTACGCGGTTGTGAAGATTGTTAAGTTACACATTTTTGAAACCATGAATCGATCAATGTTAGACCACCATTAGAAACCTGCGAGCACTGGACGGTGGATGCGCACTGCTGATGAGTTTCATACAAGGACGAAACGGCCGTCCTGTGCTTTCAGGCTCCTAATGGCGTACTAACATTGATCGATTCATGGTTTCAAGATTGTAGAACTGAAAAAGACATAATCAACAATAATGGTAAGGCGTTCGCCTACAATGCCAAAGGTCCCGGGTTCGAATCCTGCGAGGAGCAGGAGTCGTGGATGCGCACTGCTGAGGAGTCCCATACTAGGACGAAACGGCCGTCCAGTGCTTCCAGGTTTCTAATGGTGGTCTAACAATGATGATTGATTAATGATTTCAAATGTGTAAAAAACGCAAACCTCCAAAACTGTGCCCCAATATATCGTAACAGTGCTCACTAGTGACTAGCTTCGTGAGGAAATTCTCGGAGTTCTAGTTGAGAAGACGTGACCAGTGGAGTTCAACCCTGTCGGGTGTAGGCAGTAACTACCAAAGACAAATGGGTGAGGTCGCGCAAAATCCCTAGATCAATCAGAGTTAGACATTAACACCGTTGGATGCTGGCCCAGTGGTCCGATGGTAAGGCGTTCGCCTACAATGCCAAAGGTCCCGGGTTCGAATCCTGCGAGGAGCAGGAGTCGTGGATGCGCACTGCTGAGGAATCCCATACTAGGACGAAACGGCCGTCCAGTGCTTCCAGGTTTCTAATGGTGGTCTAACAATGATGATTGATTAATGATTTCAAATGTGTAAATAATCAATACCTTAGTTTATTCATTTGTCTATTTTTTCAAAGGTTTCATCGATTTTTCTCTAGACAATTAAAGTGGACTTGGCAAAAACAGCAAATAGTGTTGTTATCACAAAATAAATAAAACAGTCAATCAGTCATATTTTCTTGAAATCGAATAATAATAATAATAATAATATAAAGATAATTCATTTATAATATGACTATTCAACAACTTACATTAGATCGAAACAGTTAGGTTCATTGAAAATATTATGTGAATATCCTTAGCTCGCACAATAACCAGACATATTTTCTATTTAAGACAATGGTTTCCAAAAAAATAGAAAACATTGAGCAAGTAATCTTACTGTGTTGTTCCCTTTAATTGTTTGCTTAACTTAGCAGACATTTTCTCTGGAATGCAGACAAAAATTGGAGATATATGTGATGGATCAAAACTATAGTTATTTAAATGTATTGAAATCAATAAACAAGTAGGTAATTTTCTAACAAAAAAATTAGCATTATGACTGCTTGGATTACAAAAACACAGTTCTTTAATTTCTTATTTGTTATAGACATAAATGAAGTTGTAATTAAGCAGCCCTTGTGAAAAAAACAACGATTCCCAAGTTCAATAACCAATGTAACTAGTGTTTTAAGAGGTAGTTATGCATAGAATGTAATCGTTCAGTCAAATAGTGTCAACCTGGCTATTACAGTTTAATGATAAATTAGTTAAGTTAATATGACTTGAGGCTGGAGACCAATGTCTGAAGTACGTTAATACTGCAAAACAGACGAAAATTATTAGTATCATTAATATAAATAAGTAACAGATACACTTTGAATGCCAATGTTTTATCACTTAATAATATAACTATAACACTTAACTCACTTATAATCAATAAATATAACCCGTATATAGTGTATATGTGAATGTGTAATATTTTAAATTAGATGAACATCCAGATAAGTTTTAGTTTGGAATATATATGGGCTAGAAGTTAAAATGAATGGCATGAAAGTATGAAATTCCAACCAAGATTTGGATTTGACATAATGTAAAAAAAGCCAAGTTGTCAATATACATTAGTAATAATTTTATTACTCTGTGATTACGAGTTCTGAATGAACTCTACATTATGGCATCTGTCGTAGTTGACTATCTGTTTTAAAAAATCAAAGAGAATTGAAGCAGAGATGGATGGTGGCTAGCATTTTTATCCAGGACGAGTATTTCATCCTATATACAACTCATCAGCTGGGTTTATCTCTTAATCCCAGGGTTTATGTCCCCTCTAAAACTCAGACACAGTATCATTGTGTTGATAAGCCACCATGTTATCCACTCAGCTCCTAAATCCAGATAATTACAGTAAAAAGCGATTTAAGTAGATAATGATAGTAGCTAGCAGTGGAGGAAATTTGTCTGAATGTGTACAGTTTTACCTGAAGTCTATATAAGCACTAGGGACTACTTTAACTGACCAACATGATTTCCAATACCCATCTCCTCCCAAAACTCAACTATGGAGAAATCTAACTCCGATTTAATATGTAAGTGAATTCAATGCCTGTTTAGCGATAGGAAATAATTTAAGAAATCTTGAAATCAATCGAAATCGCATATGCAACTATATATTTCGATCATAAATATGGGTTCAGAATAAAAGATAACTTAAATTCTACTGAAAATTTACTTAATAATAAGTGTTTCATTAAATATTATACAAACCAACAAATCTACTTTGTGGATAACTTAAAAGAGTCGGTGTTTTATATGTGATATGGATCCCTAGAAAAATTCAATGAAGAAAACAAAGACGATTGATCAACTATTGTCATTATCATTAATGAGGAGAAATTACAATGCATTACTGAGGAAAGAACAGGTAAGAGCTTGTAACAGCCCATATTCGTTCTTAATAGGCCTCATAGTAGGTAAAGGCTCATTCTGAGAAAAGTGAATTCCTCTTTCACAGAATCCAGTGATGTAGCACAAGTTAACTCATGTAGAAAATAACACGAAATAAAAACCAAGAACGATAATTCCTTCCACAAATGTCAATGCGTTACTCACAATTTTATTTGTAAACGTTTCCTTCGCCTACTTATTAGTAGCACAAATTTTCGAAATACATTATTCATTCGACATGTTACCTTTGATTAATTGAAAGTATAGAAAAAGATCAAAATGTAAGCAAATATATTTAAAAAAACATGCGTTAAATATACGACAGAACCATACGGTTTTTCTGCACCTATAATGTAATCAAAATATCATCAACACGTAAATAATCAAACAACATAATCAAACTCAATGAAAAATAATTTTTTCTGATTGAATTCCTTCGTCAAGTTGGTGCAGTTTCAGTTTCACTCACTCAAAAAAAAGTGAAATGACATCAGATATTTCTCTTCAGATTTTTGAAATGCAAGTTGAGTGACGAATTGTTTTCGCTAATGAGCGCTTCATCAACACTCTGCACTAACATTCATGTTTTCGAATTAAGAACAGAATCAATCTAGATTAAGTAAAGAAAGTTAATGATAATAAAACTGAAAAGTTGGAGGAATTCGGAAATATATTTAAGAAACCAAAGTAAATTTTAATTAACTGCATAAAAGTTTTCTGGGAACACACATGAAGTTTTACAATATTTTTTATCAAAATTTTTTATCTCTTATCTTACTAACTAATTATTTTATTATTTCACAGACTTATTTTCATTTATTCGGTTTTAATCTCATTCTTAATTTCAAAATATAAATATCAGTGTACAGTGCTGATGAAGAATTCACTGGTAAAAACACTTCTTCACTCATCTTGTAGAATTATGTTGAAAGTGCTTCAGACCATATATGTATACATCGTAACGATGATGATAGAATAATTAAAAAGCTTACAACGATTCATGAAAAATAAATAGTACTTTTATCGTAAATATTGCATTTAGTTTAGAATTCCACGCTCAGTGCGCACAAAGTATGATCAAGAGTCATTGTGGTAAATTTTATACCATAAAATGTTTGATAATCTCTGAAGTTTCTGTCATATTGTGGTAGGCATAGGTTTTATTAAATATGTTTGAAATGTCAACGAAAATAATTAAATAACTTGAGCTGAGATCTAAAGCTGATTAGCAAACAATCGTTTTTTTTACTTTATCACAGAAATGTTTAGTTACTTGTATTTAGTACAAAATGATGTGATAATTCACATACTGACTGTTATAAACAGACTATTAAAACGAAATTTCATGAGTATTGGAACGTTACACAGTGGCCACTAAGCATTAATTTAGTGAAATATTAAGGAAATACTATCGTACAAATAACTCTACTCATACTTTAAAGAACACACAGGTTGGCTTATCTCAAAATTTTTTAGCTCAGCTCTTAAGCTTAATACTTTTCGCAGAAAAGGCGAAACTCTAGAAATAACGTCTGCTTGAGTATAGATCATCTATGCAAAAGTTTTAAAAATAACAGTTACGTCTTTTAATGCAGTAACAAATGAGGCTGTCTGATTTATAATACACACACTGAACTTATACAGTCAATCGTTCTTTCAAAATTCTAAAATTTAATTTATGAAATTAATGTGCCTGTGTAGTGAAAAGATGCTATATAGCTTATTGTCTCTAAATATAAATCTTTTTACACCTCATTTGATATACATATACAAATTTGTCTTGGAAATAAGAACAATATATACGGTATTTTACTACATTTAAGATTGAATGATTAAAGCTTATTATTGATTTTTTAGAAAAAGCCCAGACATACCACAATTTCTTGTATCCACTTCAGGAAAATTACTGAAAACTAATGATGCACACATGCATGCATCGTAAAACACTATTTTTTTCCCTGCCTCACCAAAAGTTTGCATCGTGCAATGTAACTATATGTGTTTACTTCCCTCAGTACAATATGGCTGTACTGTGTCATCTTGACGGTATATATATATATATATATATATATATATATATATATAATTAGATAAACGGACAGACAAGTATTCAAAAGAATAAACATTTCATCTGGGTTTTCCAACCACTGTTTTCCTTTTTGATCAGAATGCCCTGCAGATCTTACCAATCGGCACCACTTAATGCCCCATGTGGGTGTTTTCCTAAAGGTGAATCAATAAACAACTACAATCGATTGTGTGCTTGTCAACAGTTATAGGAATATGGAAAACTGTGCCAAAAATTATTGACCAGTTGCGTGGGTAAGAAATTAAATGTGACGCATTTAGTAGTTTAACTGATCTGATAAGCAAAAACTTCATTAATCCTTTTTGTAAAATCTTTGTTTACTTACTAATTTATTGAATATAATACAGCTACATGTATGCATAATAAATATGGATAACAAGGCATAAATAAACGTTTTCTCAAAACAAACAAATGATTAAACAAAAAGGTGCTTATCACCTAAGAAATATACATATCATCTTTTAAGTTACGAAACAAAAGATGTGTAAATGATTATTTCGTTTAAAAATGCTTCCTGTATTCTGTATTTCTTTCGATTTCATGAAAATTGCATATATTTTGATCAAAAGCATTATATAATTTAGATCATAACATACAACAAAATGACAACCTCAGAAATGGAAGGTGGTCGATTCGATTTCGATGATGGTGGAAGTTATGTTGGCGAGTGGTGTGAAGGAAGAGCACACGGGTTGGGCATAGCCACTGGACCAGAAAATCAAGGTGAATATTCAGGTGAATGGAACATGGGATTTGAAGCAAGAGGTGTATATATATGGCCAAGTGGAAATATTTATAGTGGTACTTGGTTAAAAGGCAAACGTCATGGTGAAGGTGTACAAATCAAGGGACGCTGGGTTTATAGAGGGTCATTTACAACTGGATTTTGTGGTCGTTATGGTATCAAGGAATCTTTAACCAGTTGCGCAAAATACGAAGGAAGCTGGCATTTAAATCAATTCGACGGTTTTGGAATAGAAACCAATTCAGATGGAAGTGAGTATGCTAGTTTTAATATGTTTCAAACTCAAATCCGCAAAATTTACCTGTATTATTAGAATTTCCAACCTAACCGATATCATTTCAGCATTATTTCACTTACTGTTAACCATTTGTACATTTGTCTCTTGTTATTATGAAACTATAACGGGTTAAGGTGTGCTGTGGCTTTCTAAGGTATAATAATAATGGTTTCATAGATTTATTTTTACGACGAAAACCAATCAATTACTGAATGAAAAATAGATGTAATTTATTGAAATGTACTGATAGACCATTGAGTACATAAAAGTATCTCCAAACTTCCTTTGGGTTTGTTCAATTTATCTAAGCAGTCACTGTCATAAGAATTAACTTTACAAAAATAACCACATTTGTTAACTGATTGTGAATGGGTCAAAGAATACAGTTATCCTTATTTCTACGATAAGACTATTATTAAAATATTAAATCATTTACTGACAAAAACAAGCCATAGGCGATAAAATATATCGAACTGATAATGTCTATCAAACATAAGGTTAATAAATAATAATAAATCTCACTCTATAAATTTCACTCGTTTGTTGAATGTAAACGGTGTATAGAGCTGCTTTTTAAATTTACATATTTATTACTTTCCTTTCTCACATAAAATCAATAGTATTGATCTTAAAATGATTGTCTGAAAGTTTCTATGCATAAAAGAAGTTCAGCATACACTTGATGTTTTCATAGTGAAGATGTTAACTGAAACTTATGATTTTATTGACGATTGATAAATATTTTTGTTTTAATATGCATTGTTTTAAAATCATGAATTATTACCAATTCCGGAAATATACAAAGTTAACGAGTACTAATTAACGGTTATATTCTGGTCATTACACGAGGTCGAACTGGAGAAAGATATATATTTTCAAAGTTTACTAACTAGTTTTATTTTATCAGATAGGAAATTTTGTTGATGAGAAGCATAAGTAAGAAGTATCATTGTTTGAACAAGAATGAATCCCTAAAAATGTAAATAATAAATCCAACTACATATTATATATTTCAACAATCAATCAATAACCTTTTCATTTGTAATGCAACGAACCTTCGTTCGGTTAGTCCAAAAAGATCAGATCATATATCCTTGAAACAACAATGTCCGTTAAGTAGTGTGATCGTTGAACCGTCACAGATTCAGTTTATCATGGAGACTAATAAATGATTTTGATCTTAGTTGAGCAATGTCACCGACAGAATCTTTACTTCAGTGACGTTATACATTATCACAATGATAAAAGTTAACTAAAATACTATCATGGCAAGAAATAAATATCTGTTATTTTATGTTAAAAATACTGTTAATATTATGATTCATGCTACAATGCACTGTATCACCTTGAATTTATGCTTCACAGTAAATATTTGTCGACAAAAGTTCGTAAAATCTGTTTAATGAAATAGAATATGAAGCTATGGATGTTGACCCAGTATGAAAACAAAATATCACACTGATATTTGGTATAGAATCTTAAGGGAATGCGGATTAGTAACTTAGAGGAAATTTGAGTACAGAGAACAAAATATTAGACTTCTTCAAGTTCTACATAATCAGTGCACGGTTTCAGGTGCTTTTTTCAAATGTTCACATTGTACTAGTAAACGACATTTCAGGATCAGTGGTAAAATTTAGGAAATCAGTAGTATCGGAATATTAATGCAACTGAACAGAAACTTTACGAAAGAATCAAACTCAAGATCTTCGGTATGCTTTCGTTCGCCTTTTTTCTAGATATTTCATTCACTTTTAGTTTCTTCATAATTTTAAAATAGTTATTCATTGAATTTTTCCAGTAATTATCCTCAGACCCATTTTACAACAAACATAAAGAACCAGTTTGCTACCCCACCATTAACCATACGATTTGAATAACTCTAAGATAATCATGAACTGTCCAAAGTGTTTGATACTCTTACTGGTTTTTTAAATTTCAAATAGGATTTGATAAGATCACTGAGTTTTGCACTATTTTTAACTAATTAGAATATTTCAGTTAAATCAATGCTATTTCTTGCAGAAAAATGCCTTTTGAAAAGAAATGACATAGAGTATGGGTTCAGTAAACGATTTCCCTGTATTTGTGAAGTTACTCATTTACAATCTGAATTTGCCCACCAAACAATTGGACATTTAGTTTGGCTACGGTATTCATTTCAATGAGTCCATTTTTAAATCCATGTTTATCAAGTTAATTTAAAATGTATATCCCTATTCCTCTTGAATTTTTGCATGGTTTTAAATGACAATTTCGATTGTATAATATCTGCGCAAATTTAATAAGAAATGAATTCAGTTTAATTTTTATAGATAATTGCACAGGTGTCAACAATCTTTCTAAATGGTTTTGTAATGTCATTCTATTATTTGGACTAGGTAACTTATTGGATAAAGTTCTAATGTTTTAGGCTATAGATAAGTGGTAAAAGTCTCTTAGCGGATATTACCACTGGGATGCCTGAATATCCTGCAGACGAGTTCCAAAAAAGTCAAAACCTGCGTCTTGGGCCTCATTTAGTTACGATCCGAATGCATAAAATCACTCTACTCCTAAGAATTGTTTATCGAATTTGACGGTTATTAATTATTGGAAGAATTAGATGTTTTAAGTAGAGAGAATATTAAAGGTCCCAAAAATTTAGATAGACTAGACATCTTACCAGTATCTCACTTGTGTCTTTGGACTAGGTTCAATTTTACTCACTTGAGTTAAATGCCAAGATTACTTTATTATGATTGGTTGAATTTCTGTCAGAGGTTAATTAAATAATGACGGTTTTAGATTTCATTGGCTGACATTTTAACGTATATGTTCTAGGATCAAAATCTCTAGCACTATGAAATACACAATTCTTAAGTTCATGCTTAGTTAAAGTTTCCGCACCTAAGACTATTGTTAAAATGTTTGGCCATCCATATCACTCTACACTAAAATGGCTTATAAAAGCATTATAACCTTCATATATGAACCTACTTAGATTCGTCAACATGACAAAGTATAAACTAGCAAATAAACCACGTTGCTTTTAGACACTTCTCAAATAATTTAAAATATACTATTGTTATAAAAGATTATCTGTATCTAAAAATAACTGGTAAAAGATAACCACATAAACGCAGTAGAACGAAACGAAGAATTAGCTGCTAAAATATGCCATGGACGTTATTTTTTTTCTTTAACAAAATGTTTTATAGACAAATTTCTAAAGATATCCATAGACGTAATTCTAATAAGATCTCCTGTTGATTCTTTATTAATCAGCATATTTTCGATAATCATTGAAAAATGGACATGCACTTGTGTGTATGTCGAACAAGTTCTGCATCATTCTCCCTATATAGATGATGCACTTATTGAGTAGTGAGCCTTCAAATACCTTCGATACCGCTTACCATATCTTGATGTCCCCTACTTAAATAAGTCTATAAAAAGTAATATATCAAGATATAATTTGTGTATTTGACAGCTTATTTACTTGTGTAGTCATGCATCTCTCCAAAATATAGATATTGTTAAATGTGGATTTTCTAATGTTGATATAGAAAAAGAAATGTAAAAATAAAGGAAAGAGTATTTATTAAATTTCTGTCTTGTCAACTTCATGAAAGCAAATTTGTTTAATCCTATCATAAAAAGATGTTCATCTTGAGTAAGAAAATCAGCAACCTAAGAATTGCTTAAAAGTGATTAGTATTTTAGCACATTTATTGAAAGAACATAATTCACTACTATGTTGTATGATAGATTTTCAGTAGAGTAAATCGTGACTTCAGTCCAGGATAAGTTGAAGTGATAAGCTAACCACTTTTTGCACGTAAACCTAATTGCTTTTGTAGCTAATTACACAGATCATACCGAGAGAAACATTTTCTAAGTTACTCCCAAACATATGCCATGAAGATAAGACAGAAATGACTAAATCTATTAATAACACTACCTTTTCACATCTGATGACAAGGTGGTGTATACGAAACCTTCCTGATTTGAATTAACGTTTGTTGTTCATCATCGCCTCATTTTGTAGCAGAAGTGATCGTGCTAGACGAAAGGGAACATCAAAATAGTAATACTAGCATTGTAGTGTCCTCAGGTAATAAATTTTCTTTGACCAAACCTGGTCTTATTACGAGCGTCACCATCACAACAGTAAAATCTGTAAATTCTTTATGCGCATTTAAATATTCTTCAACGTTCCAACTTTTATTCTATAAGGTAATTTGTAGGATATCAATTAGCGACGTTTCTGTGAGTTCAATAGGAAAAGTCTTCTGACTCATGTATTTACTAAAATTGTCAGTTAACAAAAAACAAAAACGATTTCAAGCTTCAAACACAGACTTTAAAATAGCTCACTTAGGGATTATAGGTAGATTCTATTGGTTTTGTTAAATTTGCGTAGGAAAAATCCTCCTTAAGCTAATGTTAATGATATCAATAAGAAAATACATGCGCTGCAGTGCTGAGAAGGATGTTTCTGAAAACTTCTGTACTGATTTCTCTCATAAAACAGAAAATCACATCAATAAATCAAAAATGATATGCATCAATATGCAATGGATTTTTAATATTGAAACACATCTGCTTTTTACTTACTTACTTACGCCTATTATACTTAGTGGAGCATAGGTCAAAAACCAGTATTCTTTCTTTCTCTCCACTTCTACTCAATAGCTATTCATTCTTTTCATATCTGTTTACAATCCTCGGAGCACTGTGCTCATTGGTCTACCTCTTTTCCTTTAGCCTTGAGGGTTCCAGGTTTGGGCTTGCCTCGTGATGCATTTAGAGGATTTCCGCAATGTGTTTTGTTCACTTTCAGCTTTTTTTTCCAACTTGTTCTTTAGCTGGAATCTGGTCGGTTCTCTCCCGCAGTAGGTTGTTGCTGATGGTGGCTTCGGATCCTTAAATTCGGTTTAAAGTTTGCACAATCCATACTTTTTTCATAATTTTAGATGGATAAAATACCTA